CAACTAAACGAACGACGAATTTGCTTTAGAAATTAAAGTCTGAAAAGTTTCACTAGCAAACTTGAACCAGGTCCACAGACTTGACAATACTCACTGAAACTTCCTTTCCATCCAACAATCAAACCATTGTGTTCATTTCTAATTGGATTGTTATGAAAAGGATCGCTTTGTATTCTCTCCTTTCACTGGAGATATATTATTTTAAGTGACTAGTGAGTTTTATGAAAGAAAATATTCCACTTGGAGATATGTAAAAAGTTTCTGGAACAATAAGTGTGCTAGATACATTCAATCTCACATCTCAGTATTGTTGTGAAACGAGAAGAACAGTGTCGTAACAAAGGTCCTCTCAACTCCCTAGCGACACTGTAGCCTTTTAACAGAGTTGAGTTTGATCAATCTTGTCTCTGCAAGGTAAATTCGAAACTACTTGTGAGCCTATTTTGATAACAAATCAAGAACGGTTTTGCTACAACTAGTTTTTGACTCGTTCTCGATCTGAGAACCTTTCTTTGTTGGTCACTCAAAATTTAGGAAAACTCCTTAAAGATGTAAAATGGTCATTTTCCAATTTCAATGACATTAACTCTGTTTGGCTTGCATTGTGAGAGCTAGAACCCTTCCTTCTGTGCAAATTACGCTCAAGGAACAATCTTTGTTCGATTACGAGTTACAAGGAATAATAAATCGTATACTCAACCGTAGAATTGGAAAGTATACAGAGGACAGGACAATAATAAAAAACTGACCAAAGGTTGGGAATACTTTTGTCTATACACAAATTCGTACATAAACTACTTACGACAAGGAGGATCGAACCTCAAAAGTTACAAGGGTCACGCTTTGTTCTCTACATAAACAACTTGTAGAGAGTTTTGACTGGTATAACAACAGTAAAAGTGGTGATGCTTTTGCTTCTCCTTGCACATATATTTCAAGATTCATCTTTCCTTTTTACTTTGCCAAGAGGAGATGAAAGATTCTTATTTTTCCATTACTTCTCAATTTATATTCTTTTCTTTTCACTAGGAGACGAAATTGATCCAATATATTTAAAAGAACAAGACCTTTACCAGTTTGGATAATCACAATCACAATATCATTTGACATTTGACTCTGCAAAAGAATCAGATAACTTGTTTTATCTTATTCTGCTGAATATTGCTTGCGAGTTGACGATATTTTTATTCTTTGTAAAGCAACTTGGATAAAACAGCGTTTCTCTTCTTTTTCAAGTTTGACTTTCCCTAGTAGAAATGAACATTCCTTCTATTGATAGACACGTTTTTTATACGAAACGTTGGGTTGTCTTTGATTCTCGTTACAAATATCCAAAAGGAAGCCTCTACTAGTGTACCCATCAGGTTATACTTCGCAAGAGTCTTCTTCCAAGTGCCTAACGCAAGGAACTTTTGTATAGTGACTCACTTATTCAATGAGCTGATGGTTGAGATTGGAAGAAGAATAGGACTCAACTGGACAAATCGTTCCTTGAATATGCTGAGCTTTTAAAAGTTTTACCTTTTTTTATATTGGAAGAGATAATAGCCCTCTTGGAGTTATATCGTTCCTAAAGCAGCGTTGTACTTTTTATAGTTTGCTTTCTTGTATATCTTTAAAAGTTGTGGTTTTTACAAAGTTTATCGTACAAGAGGATGCAGCAAAACATTTTAAACTAAACGGTCATGTTTACCTTCAAAAGCACCTCAAATGTATAGTCGACTATTGAGGAGAAGGAATTCAACTATGATTCAAACGTGAGAAACGTGCACATTTGTTTTGGTTTGTCTTTTGCTATCATCAACTTTTGTAGCTTTAGTGATAAGCTGCTACTTGTCATGATATCGTAAGAAAGGAATTTGATGATTGCTGAAAATAAAGGAGTGTTGTGCTTGCGGGTTTCTGCATTTCTACTAAATAATATATTTCAACTGGAGCTTTTGAATAGACTGTACAAGAGAATGACTTGGTTCATACTCTAGTTCCGTGTTTTGAAATGAAGCAAAAGTGACGTAAAAACTGTTCCATAAAATACAGAAAATCTAAAGAGACGTCTATGGAACAAATTCTTCATGAACAATCTATATCACTCGGAACTCTCTTGACTACTCTCGAAAATTCTGAAAGAAACTTTCTTATCTATGTGAGAATGGGCCATGTTCAATAGCTTTATACTCTCAAAGAGCATAAAAAACTTGTGAAATAAACATTGGCTTCCTTCCAATCCTTCTTGTACCCTATGAGAGTTACCATTATATCAGCATACGAGAATAAGAATATCGATAGTTGAAAAAGCCATATTGATCGTTCTTCTATAGTTCAAATCATCTCAGTCCAAGCCATAAAGGGTATGACATAGTCATCAGTTGATAAAGAGAAGAAGTTGGATTGGTATCCTTTACTGTTTTCGTTGTTGTTGTTGTGACCGACAAACAGTCAATCGTTCATTTATTTATATTTGTACTCCGAAATAAACAGAAGATTGTTTCATTTCACTTTGGCGATGGCGAGTTTGGATGACAAGTGGAAAGCTGTGGACAAGTTTAAGTCTGTTGTGGTAGATCGTGAAAGAGATGTTGTTCGAGTGACAGAAGAACTGTATGATCTTCATAGCAACAGAGAACAACTCAGGGGTGTAACAAGTAGTTGCGACTATCGCTTGACCATACCATTTGCCCCCCATCTCTTTGGCTCAGGCAAAACGACCTTTGCCCGAACCTATTTGGAGTTGGTGCAAAGGTTTGGTGAAACTTCCCTGTCGACGTTTGCTTCAGACCCTTCGAGGAGAACCTTTTGAGAAGAAG